GCCGGTTCTCTGGCCACCTCCCGGGCAGTCAGCCTGCCTCCTCCACCCACAGCTAAGCAGCATCGACCTGAACGAGCAGGTAGAGGGGGACGACCGTGCCTTCGAGGTGTGGCACGAGCGGGAGGACTCGGTGCGCAAGTACCTCCTGCAGGCTCGGACCGTCATCACCAAGAACGCATGGGTGAAGGAGATCTGTGGCATCCAGCAGCGCTTGGCCCTCCCCGTCTGGCGTGAGTGCTGGTCCTAGCGGTGAGGTTGGATGGGGGATCGAACCTGCCAGCCAGGCCATCTGGCTCGGGACACCCAGGCCCCTGCCCCTGCCTAGGCAGCACCCCCTCAATCAGTGCAGCCTGAGCTGGGATGCTGGGATGGCTATGACTCGAGTGGGGCCATCAGGTTTCACTCAGGGGCCCTCAGCATAGCATAGAAGCCCAGAGGGGTTAGGGGTGTGAAAGGTCTGATCCTGGGTCTCCTTTCCCATCTAGAGCACACTCTCCTCTCCATACACCCCACCACTCCCCAATACACCCAGCCTGACGCTGATTCAGATTCCCATTCGGGCCCAGTGAGGGACCCAAAGGGGTGGGGACTTCTGGCCCAACCAGGGGTGCACTGGGGGCAGGGTAAGCACTCGGCCCAGGTGTGTGGTGTGTGTTCCCAGGGCCCCCGGATTTCGAGGAAGAGCTGGCCGACTGTACAGCCGAGCTGGGTGAAACAGTCAAGCTGGCCTGCCGTGTGACGGGCACACCCAAGCCCATCGTCAGCTGGTATAAAGGTAGGTCCCCGTGGGCTGAAGGTGCTGGCCTTGCCACAAGGAAGAGCCGCCCAGAAGGAATCAGGCTAGGTGGGGACCAGGACCCAGGGTAGGGCCTGGTCAGGGGCTGGGTGCCAGGGACAGGCCTCCTGCCCCTGTTGCCTGCTCCCAAATCAAAGACAGCATGGCCAGGGCGCATGAGGTGGGATGAAGGGAGAGGATGTGCATCAACCCTGTCCATGGGAGCTGACTTTCTAGGGGAGTGGACAGGCGGCAGCAGACAGACAAAGGTGTAACGGGAAGTCAGAACAAGGCACAGCCAGGCACACCTGTTGGAGGCTTCCGAAGAGCAGTGTGGTGGCCATGAGGCCAGGGAGAGGGGGCGCCGTGGCAGAACAGTGGGAGATGTGGGCTGCCATGGGGTCTCACATTTGATTGAGTGATGGGAGCTGCAGAGAGTTCAGGGATCCCCAAAATCACCCTCACTCTGACAGCAAGGTCCGGGGTCCCACAACTCCTGTTAGGTTCAGATTCACTGGGGACTCACAGAACTCAGCAGAGCCCTTCCACTGAGGTTCCAGTTGATTGCTATGAAAAGGAGAGGGGTGTGGGGCGGGGCCTGGCAGGGGTGCCGGTGGGTTGGGCAGACAGTGCCTATGCTCCCAGCTCTGATGTTTGACAGCACACAGAGAGTGGCCAACTAGGGGCTCTCATCAAGCCTTGGTGCCCCAGGTTTCTGTTGGGGGTCATTCATGTTGTCACGACTGACTGCTGCATGGCTGACCTCAGTCACAGCCCCTCCAGGGGTCATGCTGATGCTGCGTGTCCCAGAGCCCCCATGCTAAACCACAATGTAGCACAGACCATTCAGAGTGGCCCAAGACCCCAGGTAAACCGGGATACTCTTGTCAGAGGTCACCTGGGCGGGCAGATAAGTCTCATCTGGGCTGGCAGGTAGGCCTCTGAGACCCTAGTTCGGTGTGAATAACCAAGTCCAGTCCTGGTTTCAGAGGAGTCATCCAGGGCTGTCAGTCCTTCTTGTCCTACTTGTCCACACCTAGCCAGGGGCATTTGCCCTTACGGGCTAAGGATGGGGCTGGAGAGGACACACAGGGGCGTTTTGCTGGGGATGCAGGAGGGGCCTCCCTGTGGCCCATGGTCAGAGCTGCATGGCAGACCTGTGGATGCAGCAGCTGGTTCCTGTGGCAGCTTAAAAGAGCTTCCCGGGGTCTTTCTTCTGGAGGGAGGCCTGCTGGCCCACGTCTTGGGGTCCACGCAGTCCCTTCCCATACACCTTGCCCTGCAGTTCAACTGCCCTTTCCAATACCCCTCCGCACCCAGACCTTTCCGCTGAAGGGCGGGCTCAGAGGGACAATGCAATTCATAAAGGTCCTCCAGAAGTGACCGGCATTCCTCGGGCCCTCCTTTTGGCCAGATTGTCCTCAGGAGCATGTGCTGGCCTGCCACATCCGAGGGGAATGGGGTGTACCTCACTCTGCGGTCGGGGTGGAGTCCTGGGTTCTTAACTGCGCCTCTGTCTCTTTCACCCTGGCGGTTACCCAGTGAAACCCTGGAGGGGATGGGCCCTCTGGGGACAGCTGTGTCCAGGGAGTGCAAGAAGTGTGGGGAAGCTGGACCGACAGCTCACGTTGACGTGGTGGTCAAACTGCAGGTGGTCCGAGTGGCGCATGCAGCCATGGGGTGTGGCCAGAGCCAGCAGTTGGCTGACCCGAAACACCATTATGATGGGAAACACCACAGATAGCTCTTGAGGCACTGACCTGCCAGGATAGGGGTCCGCTCATGTGATGCGCCCCCACCCAGACTAGAGCACTTCTCAGCAGTCCTCTGTGTGGCTGCAGTGGGGTCAGCGCCCTGCGCCCCATGGCAGCTCCACGCAGAACCCTGGTGCTGGGTGGGAGCCCATCAGCAGCCTTCCTTTGCCTCAGTGGCTCATGGCCCAAGGTGGGGGTGTCTTCCGCCAGGCCACTATATTTAAGTGGCAAAACAAACAGCCAAGCCACTTGCAACTCCTCAAGGTCAGTGAGCACATAACAACCTTGGCCGGAAAGAGCAGCATCGGGCAGAAGTCAGACTCACCAGCAGACAAAATGTCCTCATACAGCAGGATCTGAGTGTTGGGGGCAGAGGGTCAAGTCCCGACCCACCGGGGCAGCTGCTGGGGCAGAGAGCACTGGAGATGTTGTACTAGAGACCTTGCCATGAGAATGCAGAGCAGACCTGTTGCAGCCACCCTGCCTACACCAGCTGGAGCCACAGGAGTAGACTGCATTGGGCTGGTGACAATCTACTCCCACTGGCTGTACAAGGCTGTTGATTTGGGACGCAGCCTCTCCTGTTACCCAGCTACCTTCACATCACACAGGAGGCCCAGAACCTCCTTTCTCCATGGGGTTCAGAGCATCAACCTGGGAAGGGACTGATTGCTGGGCTGGGCCGGTTCCATGCTCCAGGACCCCCTCTCAATGTGCAGGCATCCCCATCAGGAGTGTTCCCTCCCCAAACACAGCAAACATCAGGGTCTAGAGGTAGAGCCACAGCCACAGTCCCCTGACACTATCTTCCCGGATAACCAGGAACCTTGTGAAGACTCCACCCGTGGAATCCAAGTGCCTATATCCGGAAGACCAGTTCTCCCCCTGCCCGAGGCCCCAGCATGTAGGACGAGCACATAGGACCAGAGAGGCTGATGCCCACTCCTGATCATTTTTCTCTTAAAGCAGTGGTGGTTGGGTGGAGGAGAGGAAGGGGCCAGGGCACACTTCCACACTTCAGTGACATCCAGTGCTTTGGGCTCGTCCAAACCCTTACCTGGGCAGCATGACCGTCTCTGCTGATGTATCCATTTCAGCTCTGGGACCCCTTGTCTTAACAGCTGTGTCATCACTCTCTGGGGTTCCATGCCCTTCCACCCACTGGGGTTTAACTTGTACGATAGTGACCTTTATTATGGGTTGTCCACTTACCAGGTCATCTCTAGTCTTCCCGTGATGGCTGAATGAGATTTCTGAGGTGGCAGGGCCACCTGTCAGAACACATTCCCTGCGGGCCACTCTTCCAGCTGTCACCACATTCTAGATGCCACCCATGTGCCACGAGCCATGTGCCAGCCGTCAGTGGCTCCCTGTGGGGCTTTTTCTGTTCAGGTGCCTGTCCTCATAGCCAAAAATCTCACTCGTTCCTGTCCTCTGCCCATCGGGGTTGATGATGGCCCACACGGGTTGTAGCATTTGTTGATGTTTCAGAAGAAGGCTGTGTATGCAAAGCTCTCCTCTAATGCTGAAGGAGCCAAGAGACCAAAGAACGAGGCAGACCATTCCAGCTGGTCGATTAATGAGGTTAACAGGAGACTTACATACAAAAATGCAAGACGGTCAGACCTCCACGCTTTGCCTCCCAGACTGTTTTGTAGCCAGTGAGAGGGTGTCGTGGGAAAGAAGTGTTCATCTAAAGCGAGGGGGACGGCCAGGTGCCGAGGGGGTCTGGCATCAGAGCTGGTTAAGAGACAGACAGGTCCAGGGTGAATCACTCCAGAAGCAGAGCACAGAGTTTCCAGGGGCGGGGCTGGGAGTCAAGGTGGCAGATTAGCTACATCAGGGCCAGCTCTGTCCGCACATAGGAAGCAGGGTGACCCGAGGCTGAACCAACAGCGCAAGGAGAGAGCGTGTCGACCAAGGCACCAACCAGGAATCTGTCTCTGAGCCTCCCTCTCAGCACGCAGACTGCAGCCACCTGCCCAGCTCCTCTCCATTCACAGGCAGCAGGTGGAGAGGTCTGTGACTGCCCAGCTGACCACACAGGTCGGTCGGCATGTCTACCGCCAATCCCCATGGACCTCCCTCAGGCCCTGTTACTGGCCACCTTCTTTCTCTGCTGGAATGATGTGTCTCTGACTGTGTCTCTTGCTTGTCACCAAACTGAATATCAGAAGCCATGAAGGATCTGAGACGATTTCCTGCCTCCCAGCCAGACACAGACACAAAACCCAGTCAGAGATAAAGACTTCTGGTCACAGAAAAAAAGCACAGCGCTTTGGGTCAGTTGCCCCGATCCCCATGCCCAGGGCCAGATATTAGCTGTGTACAGTGGGTCGCACCACAAGAGAGACCCGAAGATTTAGGAGGTGCTGAGCTTTTGTAGGGCTGCCGACACATCTGCCTGTCCATTCCCCAGAGAGAGAAACGCCTCGGGGGTGGGGGGAGGGGGGAAGGCTCTGTTTCTGTGCCCTGGACAGCCCAGGTGTCTCTGAACAAGGGCCGGAGCTGGTGTCATGTCTGCACAGCAGTGGGCCTCGTGGGATGCCAGAAAGGCCTGGAGAACTGTTCTCTGACAGTAGGCAAGGGCTGAGGAGGCACTGGATTGATGATGTCACCAGCAGCCTTGCTGAGAGCTGTTCTGTGGGAGATGG